CCCCCTTCCCCCCCCCTCCCCCGCCCAGCGAGGATCGTGGACTCTTGGTTGACCCCTCTGTCGGTTATGGGTCTCGAACTCAGGCCCGGGCGCCTCCTGGAGCCCCTTTGCACTGACAGCCAGCGGTCTGCCACTTGAGCCACAGTGCCACTTCCCGTTTTCTGGTGTTTTATTGAAGAGTCTCAGGGACTTTCCTGCCTCGGCTGGCTTTGAACTGTGATCCTCAGATCTCAACCTCCTGAGTAGCTAGGATGACAAGCTGTTGTCCTCTTTCTTTGCCTGTTCTTCCTCTTCCTTTTTCCTGTTCCCTCCTTCGGAAAGGGAACCCTTCCTCAGGGCTCCTGGAGTGCTCTCCAGGCAAAGAAAGGAAAGGCACCTGGGCAGCAGGACCTGTGTGTCTGAGGCTGTGCTGTGGAGACCGATGTCTGTCCTCAGTGCTCCATCTAGCCTCCTAAGGTCACCCCCACACCTCCACTCCACATCTCATGGGCAAGACAGTCCCTGCAACAAGAATCTTAAAGCCATTGTCTGCTGCAGTTTCCAGTGCCACTCATGTTCATTGTCCTCCAGCACTCAGCCTTGGTGGCTCTCCTTCTAATCGCTGTCAACCCTACTTGGTTCCTGTGTTTCCTTTTCTCTCTTGGGCATATGGTCACAAGTTGCATGCAGCTGGGTCTGGCCTGAGGCTTTTAGTATGGTGTTCCCAAGACCTACAGCCTTCAGCCCACTCTCCTACAGACATGACTTTTCTTCTTCCAGGTATAGATGAAAACTCCAGTCTGGTGTGTCTCAATCCCAATACCTGGGAGGGTGACTCTGGGAGGATTGTGAGTTCTAGGACAGCCTGAGCTACATGGGGAGACCATAAAAGAGAAGAAGAAGAGGGAGGGAAAGTTGGGGCAGGGAGAACTACAGGCTTAGAGTTAGAGACCTGGGCAAGGATAATCTGTGTGTTGTGAAGAACGTTACCCAAACCAGCTTGACCCACAAAGGGGAGGTCCGCAGTAGGGTTCTAGAGGTAGTTTCCCCAGTCTGTCAGAGGGACTGCTGAGCGTCTGAGAGGTTATAAATACCCCATTACTATCGTTGGCCCAGGTAAGACCAAAGCCACCCTGGAGAAAGCCAGTGCAGCTTGGTTGGGAGATGTTAAGGCCCCGATGACCTCTGAGATTCCAGGAGAATCCTGAAATCTTCTAGAGAGAAAAGTGTTATTGCAACAAGGACTCCAAGGCTCCTGGCATGGTGCTCCAGAGCTTTGCATAAGACCTCATCCTAAGCCGGACGCCGATGGCTCACGCCTATAATCCTAGCTACTCAGGAGGCTGAGATCTGAAAATTGTGGTTTGATATAAGCCCAAGCAGAAAAGTCCAAGATTCTTATCTCCTATTAACCAGCTAAAAGGCAGAAGTAGAGTCATGGCACAAGTAATGTCTGACTGAAAATAGAAGAGCTGGATTTTCATGTTATCTTCCATAGTCAGTCTGCCAGGATAGTACCAGTCATAATCTCTGGAATACAGTAGGAACATGAGGAAAGAAGACACAGGGATAGCTTAGTGTCTTGGGACCCAGGGGTTGCTAGACCACACCTTAAAAACTATTGTCTAGAAATACTTTTTCTGAGCAAAGGTTACCATGTCTGTCTTACTCAGGGGTAACTGAGCGGCCTGGAGCAGTGACATACATATACAGGTGGTCTCAAGTGAGAAAGAATAAGACCTTATGGCAGAAAAGCCAGTGAGAATGGAAGACACTGAGTTCAAGCTCTAGTACTGACACAAGAAAACTGAAGCACATCTTTCCCACTCAGTCCAGAGGCTTACATGCCAATCTCCTCTGGAGACACCTCTATCTATAACCAGAAGTAGTGCTCTACTGGTTTCCTAAACATTCCTTAATCCAGTCAAGCTGATACTTCAAATTAACTATCATGCCCCCCTTAGCCTCGTGAATGTGCTTTTGCATGTGCCACAGATACAAATGTACTTGTGAGGATTTGTTACCAGCCAGATATTGAAAAGCAGAACAAGATGTGACGCTGTGGCTCAAGTGTAGAACGCTAGCCTTGAGCTGAAGACCTGAGGGCCAGCTCCCAGGACCAGAGTTCAGGCCCCAGACAGGCAAAAAAGAGAAAAAAGCAGAAGGAACCAGAACAGATATTCCTTTGTTGTTTTTTGTTTGTTTGTTTGTTTTTGGTTCCAGTACTCGTATTTGAACTTAGGGCCTGGGCACTGACTCTTAGCATTTTCACTCAAGGCTGACACTGTTGCTTGAGCCACTAACCCACTTTTTGCTTTTTGGCTAATTGGAGATAAAGGAGTCCCACAGACTTTCTTCCTCGGATCTTAGCCTTCTGAGTAGCTAGAATTACAGTTGTGAACCACTAGCACTTAGCTGAGTTCCCACCTTAAAAAGGCTCAGCAAGGGCTGGGAAAGTGGCTCAGTGGTAGAGCGCTTGCCTTGCATGCCTGAGGCCCTGGGTTCGATTCCTCAGCACCACATAAGCAAAAAGAAAAAAGCCGGAAGTGGCACT